CACACAATGACACATCTGTTGGCTGCAAAGGAGATTCCTCATTAAACCGGAAGTGCTACTGCACTACCAAGGCCATCCACCAGGAGGCCCATATTTGACCTTGACCTTCGCCCCCCTAACACCTACCAGCATACCAAATATCACCACAATCCATGAAGGCGTTATGAACTTATCAAGGTACAAAAAAGCGGAAACACAAACACACATACACACACACACACACACACAGACGCGCCAAAAACAATACCTTCCATTTCATGGAGGTAATAACAACATTTGGAAAATGTAATAATGATTCCTATGCATTCATTTTTGATAACCTCCTTTTTCCTGTACTTAAAAGGACATCAGAGAGGAAAATAAATTAATTAAACTAATTAAATATGTGATAACATCTTGCCACTGTTCCTGATAATTACTTCAAACAACTTTTCATAAACAGTGTAAATTCTACAACGAGATACGTTGATGAAGGTTAGACATCCAGGTAAACGATACTCGTAAGAAAATTCAAACTCTACTACTGGATCAGTTACGGATTTTTATTTATTTCCGGACGTTTCGAGTGACATCCATCACTCTTCTTCAGCGTCACAAATGAACAGAGAACCGATTCACTCTTATATACAAGTAACTAGAAAAACCGGTTAAACAACAAGGTCCGTAAGAAGCTTTATCATGTAAAAGAACGGTTCACGCAATATACAGGTAATTAGAACTAGAAAAACCTGTTCAACAACCGTAAGAGTCTTTGTCATGTAAGGAAGGTTCCTATGGTAGGAAATTACCATAGGAAAAGTTACTGCAGGGCTACAGCAAGCGGCTACTCTTCTGCCATCTACCATCACACCAAACACAACCAGGGACACTCTTTCAAGCTAGAGGCAACAGACATCCTCGACCGTGAACCACGATGGTACGAGCGCGGAGTGAAGGAGGCCATCTATGAGCGCATCTACAACCCCACCCTGAACAGGAAGGGGGGACTCCGCATTGAACTCTCAAGCACATGGGACCCCGCCCTGCCACAGCCCAAGGGACAGTAACTTTTCCTATGGTAATTTCCTACCATAGGAACCTTCCTTACATGACAAAGACTCTTACGGTTGTTGAACAGGTTTTTCTAGTTATAATTACCTGTATATTGCGTGAACCGTTCTTTTACATGATAAAGCTTCTTACGGACCTTGTTGTTTAACCGGTTTTTCTAGTTACTTGTATATAAGAGTGAATCGGTTCTCTGTTCATTTGTGACGCTGAAGAAGAGTGATGGATGTCACTCGAAACGTCCGGAAATAAAAATCCGTAACTGATCCAGTAGTAGAGTTTGAATTTTCTACAACGAGATATTTGTTTCGGCAAAACTCGTTTTCCTTTCAAC